CTTCTTCTTCTTCTTCTTCTTCTTCTTCTTCTTCTTCTTCTTCTTCTTCTCCTTCTCCTTGTATTTTAGTATAAATAGTTAAGTAAACTTTTACCTCATTGATAGATGCTGAACTCTTTAAAGGTATGATGTAAGTCATCTTTAATGTTGTACCCCCTATATTACTTAACAAAGTGCTGTTCATTGAATGAAGAGAAGGATATGTCAATGGACAGATGGATAAATAAATGAACACATAGATACACAAATGACAGGAAACAGTGGCATGTAGCTAATGAAGGAGACTGTCTGTTGCTTAGTGTCTGTGGTGGTGATGGATACCTATTCCTGTTGATTACATGTTTCCCAGCCAGGTAAATATCGACGATCAGGAGGAGAAAAATATTTTGGATTCAACCATACTTGACACATAAACAGACTCACTCTTAAGAGTTTGATAAGAGACAAAAAAGGCTTACCTAGAGATTTAAGAGCACAGATGTGTTATTTTGTTAGTATTCTTTTCAACACTTGAGGAAATTCCAGTGTTTCAACCACATGACTGTAATCCAGTTCAGTAAATTAGATTGTCTCCTTGGAACAGCAGATCTTGTCTTTGGGTTTTGCTCACTCTCTCACCTTCTCTTGTTTGAATTGGGTTCCACCAACTGGAAAATGTCCCGTAAGTCCCAAAGTAATGGAGTTTAAAAAAAAGCTCAGAGCTTCTTCAATAACAAAGATTAAGGCTTTTATTTTTCCACATAGAAAACTTAAATTTCACCTAGAATTTCAAAATACATTCAACTTTGGAAGAGAAGGGAGTAAAGACAAAAAAATACACCTACTCTCTAGTGATTATTTTTTTAGTAGGAAATTATTTTCATTGAAAATATCCTGTACCTTTTTCAGTGTGCAACATTTTAACATTTTAATTATCTATTTCCCACTAAGTTGATTTTAAAACTTCCTTGCTGGGTTTTAGAATATGAAATGTTTCAGACTGAGTGATTTTCTCATTTTTATTTCACAAATTGAACTGAAATAGATGGAGAAGTTTTACAAAAAGATATAGCCTAATTAGATCTTAAACAATTTTTTTAAAATATCTTCTAATATAAACAACCTAAATGTGTTTTTTTATAACAGTTTCAAAATAATGTCTACTTTGTGTTACATGATCAATGACCACAGTAATTATAGATTTAATGTTTTTACATTTTGAAACCAAATTAATTTTACTTGGTATTTGATTCCTTATCCTCTGGTTATAGTGACTTGATAATACTTTTTATTTTAGAGTGCTCCGAAATAATCCCAATAGCTAGTTGAAAAGAATTCATGGGTTTAAAACCTACTTAGTAAGAATTAAAATAATTTTTATGTTTTGGTTTCCTGATAGATTTGTTTGGACTTTTCTTTTCTCTTTGTTTTTCTTATAGTGCGGGAGTTGGCCGGACTGGTTGTTTCATCGTAATAGATGCCATGTTAGAAAGAATAAAGCATGAAAAAACTGTAGATATTTATGGCCATGTAACTTTAATGAGAGCCCAGAGGAATTACATGGTTCAAACAGAAGACCAATACATCTTTATCCATGATGCACTGTTAGAAGCAGTGACTTGTGGAAATACCGAAGTGCCAGCTAGAAACTTGTATGCCTATATTCAGAAGCTGACACAAATAGAAACAGGAGAGAATGTCACAGGAATGGAGCTCGAATTTAAGGTATGATATTGGATGTGATGTGGTAATTCAGGAGCAAGTCATTCTGGGATTGTCTTTGAGTAGTGCCTTCACTTTCTTAACCTTTCAAATTCTGAAATTACAAGATTCACTTGACCTTCTCAGGTGTCTGACTATAAAACACTTTCTTCCTCTTTCCCTTTTCTGTTCTTTGCTTCCTAACAATACCTTGAGCTCTTTTGTACCCTAATTTAAATTGAGAGATCATACTCTCAAAACATATTTAAAAATTCAGTACACTATATGGAATCATTAGGTAGAAGTGAAAAGCAGTGCAATTTGAAGAGTCCTTTGCTTTAAAGTAAACACAAGCTTTATATCTAAAGAGGAAATCTTGAGTACATTGCATCTAACTGTAGGCTAAAATTATCTTTGTCAGATTTTTTTCTTTTCTTCTATTCAACAGCGTCTAGCCAGCTCTAAAGCTCACACCTCAAGATTCATCAGTGCCAATCTTCCATGTAATAAATTCAAAAATCGCCTTGTTAATATTATGCCATATGAATCCACAAGGGTATGCCTGCAGCCTATCCGAGGAGTAGAAGGATCTGATTACATCAATGCCAGTTTTATTGATGGATACAGGTATATACTCTTACTCCCCTGACAGTCCAAAGCCTTGATATTTACATGTGCCCTAGTTTCACAGCCAGAATGAATTTCATCTCAATTCAAAGCATCTTCTTTCTGCATAGGTCAGCATTCAGTCCTTTGGTATTTGTTTTTTTTTTTTTTAAGATTTTATTTATTTATTTGAGACAGAGAGAGAGCACATGAGAGGGGGGAGGGTCAGAGGGAGAAGCAGACTCCCTGCCGAGCAGGAAGCCTGATGTGGGACTCGATCCAGGGACTCCAGGATCATGACCTGAGCCGAAGGCAGTTGCTTAACCAACTGAGCCACCCAGGCGCCCAGTATTTGTTTTTTATTATTTTTGGTAGGAGTAAGAAGAAGCAGTCATGGAATCTTTAATCTGGCCTTCTGCATTCTTCCTCAGAAGCCATTTGGTTGTGGAAGGAGTTAATGAGGAAGCTGTTTTACACCATATTTCATAAATTTAATAGATTGTGTAAGAGTCCTGTCTACAAAATGAAGACACCACTGTTTAAGTGATTTGTATGATACATGGAACTGAGTTATTAGTGTTGCACTAAAATTTAAATAATAATGATAAAGACATACATCATAATATTAACAAAACAATTTCTTTTGCAAAGACCCCAAATGTATTAAATATTCTCATTTGATTACACAGTCTTAATGGAGATTTACTGCAATTGCCTTGATGTTATGTTTTCAGTTTTCATTAGTGGGTTTGATGTTTACGTATCAAATGTGAACCTTTGCATGTTCTCTGATTACTTTAACATGCTACTTTTATTCTCTGTAATTCAGACAACAGAAAGCCTACATTGCTACCCAGGGGCCCTTGGCAGAGACCACTGAAGACTTCTGGCGAATGCTCTGGGAACACAATTCCACCATTGTCGTGATGCTCACCAAGCTGCGTGAGATGGGCAGAGTGAGTGTCTTTTTATAAGACATTCACTCCATGAAGAAATGACAATTTCATTTTAATAACCCAAGGGCCAGCATCATTTCTTGGAGATGTGGAGTTCACCAGACACATTATGGGCCATTCATTACTCTTGTGTTGGTTTTTAGCTTGCAAAGCCACATCAAGTTCTTTAATTTGTGTGCTTTGAAAAAAGATCTAGTATTTTGTTTCCAGTGCAGCATGATCATAGGAGCAAAGAAGTAGATGTCCCTGTTTGACTTAGGTCCCGACTCTTGGCATAGTCTTTTTTCCTTTCATGCTGGACAAGCTGGAGTTTCATGAGCAAATGTGCCATCATTTCTCTGTGTGAAGAAACTTGACTTTCTTTTATGTGTGAGGCAAATTCTTACCTGACCTTCCTCCACCCCATATTGAATAGGGTGTTAGAAAGTTACATAGTTTTTCCAAGGACATATATAATCTGGTCATCTTAGATCTACTTTTTGAAAATGATTATTCTGAAAAATACATAAAATAGTATTAGAGATACCTAAGGACCTACCACTTAGATTCGATAGATGTAAGCATTTTGCTATGTTTGCTGAAGATATTTTCTTTCTCTCTTCCTTGTATAAATGTAGAGAGCAAAAAATGCCAAACTAGGAAAGTAACTTGACTATCCTGACTATTCATAGTTGACTCTCTGCAAGATTTAGCCAAATCATTAAAACTGCTTGGGCTCCAGTTTCCTCAGCTGACAAGGGAGACTGGACCAGATCAATATAGAATTTTCTTTCTGCATTCACACTTGATGGTTCTATCCATTCCATAACACAGTGATGCAAGTCTATTCTGGTGGTTCAATGCATGGTTAATAGGGCCAGCATTACATCCAAGGACTGATGTTATTATTTGGAGAACTTGTAGGTATGAAGACACTTACCCTTTCAAAATATTCAATTCAATTGTTGTCTATTAATAAGCTACTGTATGCCAGTAGTGTGCTTGATATCATGAGCAAATATTAAACCATTTGATTTTCCTATTCTCAAGGAACTTATGGTTTCCAAAAGAAAACGGATCACATGCAATTGGAATGGCCTTGAATTTTGAACTTTTATTAATGAGAGAAAGAAATTAAATATATAGATTGATAGATGCTAGATAAAATTTAATTTGTACTTTGTATAGTTTGCCATTAATCTTCTCTCGTTTTAGGAGAAATGTCACCAATACTGGCCAGCAGAACGATCTGCAAGATACCAGTACTTTGTTGTAGATCCAATGGCTGAGTACAACATGCCACAATATATCCTAAGAGAATTCAAGGTCACAGATGCTAGGGTAAGTTGACCAATCTTATGTTCTTAAACATTAGCTGAAAAGCAGTCTAAAATGCATCTCTGGGAGAAACATTTGCCGAGTGACCATATTCCCAAAGTGAAAAGAATAACTGATCTTGGAGGACTGTTTTGTTTTTTAAAATAAGAGTAACTTTTCCTCTGTCTGGCAAGTGTTCTCACAAACCCAGGGTTGGCTTCCATTCAAACATAACATCTGGCAGCCCAACTTTGGGGATATACTTGGTAAGTGTGTGTCCTGGGAAGCATTTACTGATTGGTTGGCTGTGCTTACATTCACTTTCTCAGCTCATTCTCTTTGGAGATTTTTGACTTCTTCATTACTTGAGGCTGTAAATATGTTGTTGTTTTGCAAAGCCCTTTAGGTCATGTGGGCTTGGAGGTTAATTTGGTATGATTTTAAAACTGCAGAGCAAATGGCATTCTTTAGAAGACTCTGACAAGCTTTGCACATTATAATTTGATTCCTGGCATGGTTTATTCCTCAGTGTGCTAATGTGTCTGTCCATGAGAGCTGTGCACCCATGACCCTTGTTGGCTAATTTTCATTCCGCATTTCTTATCTAGATTGCTGAGTCCAAGGTTCAGCCCTGATGTAAGATGTTCTATGCATAAACTTTAATATCCTTGCCTTTGGCCACTTTCAAACCATGACTACAAACACATCTTAGGAGAGAATGGGGTCAGTCCAAAGCCCTGCTTTGTTTTTGGAACTGTCACAGTAGGTGGGTGGAATAAAACTCCAGGATAGAGCTATTTACTTGATCCATTGTTTTTTCTGGGAAGGAGCTTTTCCGACCAATACTCATGTTTAGAGATTGTCTGCTAATCCCCAAAGCTGTGCCCTGGCTGTTGACCTAAAGTGAAGGAGAAATTGGTTAGCAGGCTGGTTGGCCCAGGTGACAGACCTGTTAATCCCAGAAAGTCTGAAATCTTAACTACTCTGAAGGTGACCGTACTCAAGGTAGCAGTTAAGTCTATCGGGCTCATTTTTGAGTTGCCCAAGTAAGCATGCCTTGGTGACACATCCCATTGTTTAAAAAAAAAAAAAAAGTGCCCTTTCAGAATTTGAAGATATATATGTGAGTGAAAACTCTTAAGTACATTCCAGGGAAACTCACCAATGATTTCTGATGATAAAGACTAGGGGCCAGTCTCTGCAAATAGCAGAGACACCTTCTTTACTACTCCTCACTTGCCCAAATTAAATCTGATCGCAAAAAGCAAAAGAAATATTGAAGAACTTGTTCACATTCTTTTTATTAAAAAAGGCTCCCTGAGATTTTATAATTTTCTTAGCTGCCATAGCATATGCTGTTTGTGTTCCTAGTGTGTTTCTAATCTTAACTTTCAGTTTAGAAAGCAAGCTGGCGCTTGGAATGCAGTTTTGTTAAACAGGTAACCTTTAAATGGAGTCAGCTGGTCTCTCCTCCAGCTAGTAAGGGTTTGTGCACATGACCTCTTCTTGCTGCTAAAAGCAACTGCGGTCAGAAGTGAAATCCCTGAGATATGTAGAGGAGGACATATCTGCCTTTGGCTTCCTTCCTGTGCTTCCCAAGCCTTCTCCAGAAACGAAGGGAAGTAAATCATGCTTCCGTGGTAACCATCCGTGTTATTAATGGGGTCAAGCAGTTATTTTCATATTCCTGAGTGTTCTCACAAAGTTAATGTGATCTCCCTGCTTTATCAAAAGATGACAGTCAGGAATATGCCCTGTTCCTGTGGAAATAAGACTAGTTGAGTTAAACCATCCCTTCCTCTCAATATGACTGAATGAAAAAGATTGTGTCTCATCTACTTGACCAGAATCTTGGGAACATACACACCCATATCCAAAAGGCCTTTAAAGGGGAAAGAGGTGTTACAAAAATGGAAAGGAGGAACAAGTTGAAGCCTTAACTAGGAGCAGGGCCTCTTCAAATAGGATCAGTCTCTCTAAGCTTGGAATTTGGATTCTTTCCCTCTCAGTGGATTAAGAAAAGAAAGTTGGTGGGTGGGCATAATTGTTACTCCTATTTCTGTAAACAGAGGGTCCCTTCTGCTTTTGTTGTGCTTCTGAAAACACTGTTCTAGAAGGAGTCAGAAGCACATTAGTAGCTCCTTCTCAAACCATTTATACTTCATGAGTCAGAGCAGTTTTGCCCAATCACTTTAGAAAAGATTCCTCCTCTATCCAGCTTGTTTTCTTTCCACTGTTTGGTCTGTCTGTTAAGCCCCACCATGAGTCCCTTAATTCCTGTGGTCAGCCAGAAGAGTCCTTTTCAGAATAGGGTGTTTATTTGCTAATAATCTCTTTCCTCTCCTTGAGGGACACCTCACTTCCTACTCAACAGCATAGTTGCATAGCACATGCTGTGTAGGCTGCCATGGCTAGAAATTGTATGCCCCTGAGACATGTGGGGCATCCGGGTTAACAGCTACCCAGTTTGTGTCAGATCCTCTCAGCGTCACTATTTGTCACTTGACAGTGCTAGAAATAAGCCAGCACGGTGGATGTGAAGTTATCATGACAATAGCAAAATCTCTGGTCTGGATGACATGCCTGGATGCTCCTTTCAATATTAAATTATTGGCTTCTGAAATTTTTGAAATAGAGTATATATGTTCCACTTTGGTTTTGAAGGCAAATTTTGGTTCTCGGAAGCATTTACTAATATGGGAACTAGATGGCTCTTTACAAGAACCCAGGTTTTTACTTGGGCATTCCAGAATAAATTTGCAATTTAAATATATGTGACTGTAGACAGTGTTAATAACAGATAAGACATACATGAACTGAGTTTCTAGTTAAACATGTTTCTAATTTCTTCTTACCCCCCCCCCCCCCTTTTTTTTTTTTGGAAAAAAAAAATCATTCTTGCTGCTGTGGTCTGTGCACTGGCTGAATCCTCCTGGCATCCTTCTTTGTGGCTGGGTATGTGGCTTTCTCTCTAAAGGACGGTCAGTCCCGAACAGTGAGGCAGTTCCAGTTCACCGACTGGCCAGAGCAAGGAGTGCCAAAGTCTGGAGAAGGATTTATTGACTTCATTGGCCAAGTCCATAAAACAAAAGAGCAGTTTGGCCAAGATGGGCCCATTTCAGTCCATTGCAGGTGAGTGAAGAATCAAGAATGATGAGTTTCCATTTGTGATTAATGTCCTAATAACTTTGAAAATGTGCATTGTTGTCTATTCATTGTCAGTACAGGCTTATTGGAGTGAATCTGCATAATTAATATTTTATTCTCAGAAATATATTGTAAAATCTTAAGCAAGGACTCATTTCTCTTTCTTTCCATAAAATGAAAATAACCAGAGGTAAAATTTTTATCCCCAAATTTTACCTCTTGTAACAAAGACAAAACTGTTTTTCCTTGCCTAGTTTACCTTTTTTTTTAAGATTTTATTTATTTATTTGAGCGAGAGAGAGAGAGAGAGAAAGCATGAGCAGGGGGAGAGGTGGATGGAGAGGGAGAAGCAGACTCCTCCCTGAGCAGGGAGCCAGATATGGGACTCGATCTCAGGACCCGGGGATCATGACCTGAGCCAAAGGCAAACGCTTAACCGACTGAGAAAGCCAGGCATCCCTCTTTCCTAGTTTACCTTAACAGGAATTGTTGGTACATCTGCTGGGGAAAATTTGTTCAGTTAATCATCTCTTACTTGTTTTACTTCCATGGCATTACAATGATAACTGTCTTTCTGTATCTACCTCCTGTGGTTGTCTTTTTAGGAAAACCATAAATAGTTATCCAGCCTTAATGACAATACTAATTCTTGCCAGTCAGTAAGTGATTAGAATGGTACCTCAGTTAAAATTGCAATTTACCTGAAAATTGTTGCTATATCAGAAAATTAAGCACCTTCAAGTTAATTATTTTCAATAGTTTCCACAGCATTTTATAATTCGTCATTGAAGTTAATAGAAATAGCAAATAAAAGGTTCAGAAAGGACACTCACCATAAATCTAGTGCTTTGGGAAGTTGTTATGCAGAAACCTTCCAGCAAAAGGAATTTTTTATTCCTTTTGTAAATAATTTTATTTACACTAATATATTTTCAGATTCTAGCAATTTGAAGTCTCAGTTTCTAATCTCTTTGTGGTCAAAATCTTGAGAGTTTAAAATTTTACTTTGCTTCAAAAAAAAAAAGAAAAAAGGAAGGAAAGAAGGGAGGAAAGAAAAAGAAAAAGAGAAAGACAGAAAGATTCCAAACTACGAATCTTAGTGAAAGGGGAGACAAGCTGTCAAAATAGGAGAAATATTCAACTCGGGCTTTAAGGTAGCTGAATTCTAGCCTCACATCTGTCATCATGTAGCTCTATAACAGAATCTTAGAATCTCTCTAAGATCCTTTTGAGTGCATGATGTTCCCCAGGGATGATATATTCTGTGAGTAGCAGACCTTCTTTATTCACATTTGCTTTGTGTTGAGTTTAGTTACTCTAGACAACCAAAGATCAATATTCAGACAAAGTAGATGGTATAGACTGGACTGAAATTACCTGGATATTCCCCTTCACTTTCGACATAATTTGCCCAAATGCTAATTCAAACTTTTCTAGCATAAGCTATAAAAAAGAATATATTTAATATATACATTTAACTTTAGACATTTCCCCATAAGTTTATAAATGTGTGTTACTTCCCATTGCTTTTGCTGTCACAGAATGATTTAAATACTCCTTTAGTATATGGATTTTAACTGTGTCCTATTATCTCATGCACACACATATATACACATGACTTCTAGATAGTTTCTCTTATCTGGGTATATCCTTAAAATATTAACTTTATTTATAACTTATTAAACTAGCATCATAAAGTCAACAAATTCAGAAGTGATAAGGCCAGTGTCTGTTATTTTCTTGAAAACACCTAGTAGAAAGCCAGAAACCCTGTATTTCAATACATTTGAACAATCAAATCAAGGTTAAATATAGAGTTGGGAATACCTGAGCCATTCAGAAAAAAAAAAAAAGAAAAGAAAAAAAATCATAAATCACAGCTTCTCAGGAGTAAGAGAGACTTTTAAGGTTGAAAGGGACCTTCAAGGTCATCTACTCCATCTTAACAGAGAACCTTCACTGCCCCTGGACATCCTCAGGCACTTTGTAAAGACTGCCCATGGATTTTAAAGCCTCACTTAACAATTCTGTTTGGGCTCTTTAGAAAACCCAGTTTGTAAAGGGACACACTATTTATATATGCCTGTCAGCTATTTCCCTAAGTAAATGAATCCATCCATTTTCTACAGCCTGTACCCAAGCGTTACACATGTCATTTAATTAGGATCCAAAAATGTAGGGATTTTTCAGATTATTCACCCTTCTCCTCATTACCTAAACCTCCAGATGCTTTCCTACTTTTTAAGAGCACAAAAGCTATGAATTAATTTTCTCCTCTTGCTGCAGTGAACATTCTGGAATTATCTTAAAACAATAAAGAAAACAAACTCAAAACCTTGCTAATGTGGTAGAAAGAATCCTGGTGTTTTAGCTGCTGAACATCTAAAAGTAGTAGATAAGCTCAGTGAGGCTCATCCATTTTTTTTTTAAAGGTTAGAGACCCTTTTGAGAATCTGTTAAAAGTTTTCAGTTTCAGGAGAGAGAACAAATGTATATACATTTACACAGTTTGTAAATATAAAATATTCACCGACCCTTCTAATGACTGAATAAGGATCCCATATCAAAAAACCTGTCACAGAATCTGTTTTCTCATATCAAAACTGACGTCTCAATCTGAATAGTCTATACCCTTTCTAAGTGATGAATCATCCTGCATAGATTGTGACCACAAGAAGTAAATAATATACTAGAAAACTTGAAGAGGTCGAGTTTATCTCACCTTATCTGGTATTCCATACTTTAAAAATACTTAGAAGGCAAGGTCTACAATTGCAGGATCTCCATGAAGAGTATTAACCTATACTTTATTTATCCTTCTCTGAATCTATTTATTTTGCAATATTTATGTTTCCTATATCTTTCCAAAATGGAGTAGAATCCCAGTTGAAAAGGCATTCTACTGTATTGGACTTAATCTTAATTATTCCACATTCATGCTCACATTTTACCATGACACATTATCCCAAGAGTAGTCATTTCGTGAACCCAATACCACATTTTCCTGAACATTGCTGTTGAAGAACCTGGTGTAATATGGAAGCGGGTGCATATATGTTTACTTCCAAGCGAATGTGGTCAAGACTCTGAGTGTCACATCCTGTAACGCCGTCTTTGTTATTATGGCAGTGCGGGCGTTGGAAGAACTGGAGTCTTCATAACGTTAAGCATTGTTTTGGAAAGAATGAGATATGAAGGAGTTGTAGATATCTTCCAGACTGTCAAAATGTTAAGAACACAACGACCAGCCATGGTACAGACAGAGGTGAGAAAAATCTCTATGAATTTATCATGTCTCAAGAGCCAAATATAGATTTTACTAACCAGAACCTCTTAGAGCCCAGAGACTCTTAACACCAGAGCAAAATACAGGAAAATACTGTAGGAAAACCATCAAATTGTTCAATATTTTGAAACTCCTTTTTTCCCCTCTGTATATGGGAGTGACAATTTCAAAGTCTTACAGTTGCTTTGGAAGTTATGTTAGATTATATATTAGGTTGAACCATGATAAATTATCGCTATTTGACCACTTTATAAAGCACATTGCCTGATACATAACAGACCCTCAGCCCATTTTACTTCTCTGTTCTCCTATGGTCATTTTAAATATTTGGATCCTGGATAAGTCCTAGAGAGATTAATACTCCATTTTTTACTCCAATAACTGATCATGAAATTCTCATCTTTTGTGATTTAGACAGTCTGGCCTATTGACTGTTCATTTCTAAGGATAAGATGAGTGAGTGTTTTTGTTCCTCGAAAGGCCACTAAATATATTCTATATGTATTCCTAAATTCATTGCCCACGATATCTTCCAAACTGTGATTTCAAAATAGCACAAGTATTTGGCTTGCAATACTCAAAGCATGATGTTGGCCTGACAAACTTAATGGGTGTTGGGGGTGGAAGAGAGAAATTGGACATTTAAAAACCCTTAACACTTAGCCAAGCAGCTTACTGTGACAACATAGGAAAGCAAACTCCATTTATTTTGCATTACCATTTTTATTGTAAAAAATGCACATTTAAGCAAAATAGAAACTATCTACTTTCAGCCCCATTGGCTACTAAAGATAAGTTTCTTTTATGGCAAAAACTCTATTTTTTTCTATCTCTCCAACAATGCCCCAACTTATTCCAATATGACAGTGTTCTTCCCTATCTGAAAAAGGACATGTTTCAAGTTATTTTTTTAATGTGGGCTTTTCTATAACAGATAACTAGCAATCACACTGAATTAGGCCAAACGACACGGCTATTTTTTTATATAGACAGCCAGTCTCGGGATGCCATTTCCAGAGGATGAAAAACTTGAAAGTCCAGAACCCTTTTTAAGTGGCTTTGTGTACCTACTGTTCCTCACACTTAGTTGAATAACAACATCAGAAATGGTGGTAGGTAATTCTGATTGCACGTAGTAAGGTCTACTATCTGATAAGATCCTTTTTATTCAAATTCTTTTGGCAAGAGCCCAGAAGATAAATGAATCCAGGCTTTCCTCAAAACAGCGTGTGTCTGGATCAGTCTCTCCTTAATATGCAAACTGAGAATAAGTTATCACAAATAGATAGTTGTAAAAGACAACAGTGATACATTCCCATGTTCAGTGGTGGTAATTGTTTGGTACTACTTGGAGAACAACTCACACTTGCCTGGAAGATAGTGTTCACTCTAGCTGTTACTACTTTGGAATTAGGAGACGATTTTGGTCAAATCGATTGGTGAAGTTAACAAACACCCCGCATGGCTGATCATTCTTTGCTCACTGAAACGGATTGGTATTGGATTGACTTAATTGATGAGAGTAGTGATTTTGCCCCCATCCAGATGTAACATCTGTTTTTGAATATTGATTTTCATCTTTCTATTAAAATGGACTCATGGCCCCTTCTCCTCTTTCTTCCCATGCTTGGTCTCCTGCAGGACCAGTACCAGTTCTGCTACCGAGCCGCACTGGAGTACTTGGGCAGCTTTGATCACTATGCAACGTAGAAACCCCTAACCCACTTTGGGTTCTTACTGCAGGCCCTTCAGTATCCACGGAGTCTCTTCTGAGCCATACAGGGCACTTGAGAAGTCCTTCTTAACTTCTAGCTAACTACCACTTAGTGGGACTATTACACACAAAACAAAATAAAAACAAACTCTTCTGGGTGGACCAAGAATTCACAGTTTAATAATCTAACCTGAAAAAATAATAAAGAGAATCCTGACTGGTGAGGCATCTGAAGGATTTTTACAGATACCTCAAGGATTCAAAATAAAGGGAAGAAGAAATCACAGCAAAGAACCACCATCTTGTTCAGGATTGCTTGTTAGGTGTGAGGAAAAATTGCCAGAGTCCTGCAGTTCAGTGCAAGATGTTTGCTGGCGTGGCTTCTTGTGACAAATGGACTCTGCTGCGACATCACCCCTTCCCACCATACTGCTCATAATAACATTTTAAGGGGGGGGGTTTGGGGGGAAATGTTTAAAAAGAAAGTCTTTGATTTAGTTTTTTAGTATTGTAAAGATACTGCTGACCTGTGCTTCATTTTTAACTGTGTAAACTTTTTTTTAACAAATGTATCATTCGATAAAGTGAATTTTAAAAAAGTTACATAACTCTTCATTTTTTATTTCCAAATTGTAGGTTTTTTTAAGCTGTAGAACTGTTATCTGTAATATCTTGCTGTAGAAATATCAAATAATTTGAAAATTTGCACATTTTTGTGCAATATTCTTAATCTACAGTATCCGTCTTGTCAGATATTACTTTCACACTTCTGTTCAGTTTTGGTTGGTGAGAAAGTACCCATTCTCTTCAAACAGTCAAAGAGAACTTTTTTGTTTTGTTTTGTTTTGTTTTTGGAATCAACAGGGAGGCGCAAAGTATAAAGTTGCTGCTAACATATATACATATATATCCATATTTTACAGGGGTGTCTATGTATATATAGACAGTGTGTCCACACAAAAAGATAGATATAGCTATCATTCAGTTCTTCCATGAATTAGTTTTGGGGTTTTAGTTGTTTTTTTGTTGTTTTTAGGTAGAGAACCTATTATAAACATCTTTTACAATTTATTATTAATTTTATGACATATGGGTATTTCTTAATATCATAAAATTTTAATTTTAAGGGCAATGAGGAATGCACATCAGTGATTGTCAGGCCTCACCCCCTAATTTCCTATCCAGTCTCCTCCCGCCCACCTACTCATATTCACAAATATCCTTTTGTTAGCCAGGCTTCCAACAAAGTTCAATATTTCTAACACTCTAGTGCAATAAAAAAAATTACTAAATATCTAAGAGGTGTGCATGTGGGAAAGGTCAGTGCATATCCCTTTAGGAGGGGAGAATGTTGTAATATATCAGCTATCAAGTTGTTTAAGAAAACAATGTATTCAGTCGTATATTGTCTATAGTATGTGCTATGAAATTTGCATTTATGATATGTAACAGGGGCAAAGCCAAACTCATGTTACTGTTCAGTCAGAAACATTTTTTGGCATACAGCACAACTGGGAAGTGCTGTACTTTGTTTTCTTTTGGTTTTAGTTATGCATTTAGAGTGCCTTATAATTGATGCCTATTTTAATAGCATTTCTTTTTAGCTTTTGGTTCATATTTTCATTAGTTGTTCTTATATGTTACTCTTCCAATTAAAGCATTATCTGTTTATCACATGTACAAAAACTCTTTGAATAATATGCATTCCTAGTTTTCAACTAAGTCGGGGATGTTAGTGATTGTACCAGCCCAAAGCACTTGGATAATCAGGGCCCTTCCTTTCATGGTTGCCGACATCAAGAAAAGCTACTTGTTTTATTTAGAATCCCTGCCAAATCTGTTCTGGAACATTCAGTAACTGCACCAAACTTGTTTTTAGTGACAAATATCATTGTCAACCTTGGAATATATTTACTAATCCATTAGGATTTTTCTAAAAGGGGAAATTAAACAATTATCTATTTTCCAACATAATCCCAAATTTTCCAACATAATTGCTATAGGAAGCCATGGAAAATGGCATGAGTTTGCCATATCTTATATGATTTTAAAGAACCCTCAAAATATCCAAGGAACTCTTAAAGAGTTTTGGTATAGATATAACATTTTGGTTTAATTTTAGCTTCTTTGATGTTCAGCATAAAAGGATTTTGTTTTCCACATTTTACCATCACTAGCAGAATGAAATCCAAGAGACCAAACACTTGCAAGCATCATATTTGAGCACTTTTGTAAAAAAAAAAAAAAAAAAAAAAAAAGTAAGAAAAAAAAGAAAAAGGAAATAATGTTAAAAAAAAAGTATCTAGAAGGCTACCTCAGAATGAGACTCTCTAACCTACATCAGAACCAGAGAAGAATGTGCACTATGTGGATCTGTTGTTATTATCTTTTAGTTTGTATCTTTTGGAGATTTATCCAAGTGCCAGATTACTGAGTGCTGTGATTTTCATTTAGTGAAACAAAGGGGGTCAGACAGACTTGCAGACATGCCACGTTAGACATGTAGAATCTGATGGTGTATATTACACACCAGAATGACTGACCAATGAGCAGTTTCTCTCCCTGAAATAAAAACTGCCCATTTGGCAAAGGGAAAGAGGAGAATAATCACAAGAAGAAAATTAATGAGATGCATACCATACAAACGAGGCAGAGACTATTCAGAGAGCTTATTGTTTAGGCGCTGTTCCGAGAACTAACTCCCTTCCTGTCATTGATGTGCATTCTACTCTGTGATTTTCTGTACAACCATTCTAGTTTGATTTTCCCAGGTAAACATCTTTATCTACCATTACCATAAACTTTCAAGTTTCTAATTATTTTCATCATCATAACCAGTACGGTGCTATTATTTACCTATGTACGTGTAGTTATGTATAATTTTGTAATTAGTTACAATGGTAAAAAAAAATCAAAATATATAAAAAGTGATTTGTACAGAACTTTATTTTAGCTCTTTTTTAAAAATGATTTGCATGGTTAGACAACGGCAAGGACAGCCAGGGGAGGGAAGGGCCTCTAGGGAACTTTGCACTTTCTATACCTTTGTACTATGCACTGCCCTATTGATTCTACACCCAATAATGTTATTACTTGAACCCATCTGTAAGAAACTGCTTCAGAAATTCATTTGTGTGTATGTAAATAACACAACATAGACACAGGAAGAGAAAAAATTCTTCAGTAACAGATTTTTTTCTTTCCTGTTTATTTTTGGGTTTGCTTTGTTTTAGTCCCTCCTTTTTATTTTTAATTCCCTTTTATTTTTTTCTTTTTGGGTTTTGGTTTCCTTTGGGTTTATGGGTGCCCTGATACTCCAGCAGAGATCAGAAGGCTACAGATCCATTCTATCCATCTGCTATGTGGCTTTGCCATTCAAGCTTGGAGTGTCTTTACAAAGATAATAACAGTTGTGTTCTTTGCTCTCGTTTTGGATGCATAGACTGAAAAATTTAAAAAAATAACTTGTAAAATGGCTTGTTAAAAAAATACAATTACCTCTAATTAGTAGTACGCGTAAATGTTTTACAGAATGAAAGGCGTGCTTTTTATTTTCTTACTTCGTTACATTGGTGGCGAAAGAAGTCTGTATGAAAATCAGTTCTTTGCTGACACAAGTTCCATTTGTTACAAATGAATTCTAATAAAAATGTCAGTGTTATGCAGCCCTGGCCTTTGCTTTTGTCCACTCAAGCACTTTGGTTTTGAACTGACTATATATGTTCCCTTTTCTCTCTGGTTATCTGGTTAGTTCCTTTGTACTAATAGTAATTAAACTTACCAAGAGGCTGACATTTATGATTGCCTGCCTTGAGGTGAGCACTTTTCACTGGTAAGCAAAGTAAGATTTAGAAAACTAGTTTGCCCAATTCACACAGGAAAAAGGAGGCCTTGGTATCATTCGAACTAGAGTTCATGGGCAATTTCTAACTCTATAGAAAATGATTACATATACTTTGTAAATTTGAGTGGATTTCAACCTATAAGTATTGAAAAACAGCTATCTCTCATGCACATAAAAATAGCTCCATAATGTTAACTCTTAAGCTTTTTGGAAACTAAGAAAATACTTGGCTTGAGTTGTTTATTCAGTTAGTTGATATTAAGAGTCAGAACTGCTCTAGGCTTTGGGAATGCAGCTATTGGTACATGAGATGCTGTTGCTCACGAGGAGACTACAGTCTAGGGAGAGAGACTGGAATTAAAGAAATAATAAAATTGTACTCGGAAAAGTGCTATGAAGGAAAGTAAAGGATTCATGAAGTTAGGACTTTGAATTGTGAGGGAAGGAAGTCTGATTCAATTTGGCTTACAATGAAAGGAAAGTGTTTATTGGCTCACATACTAAAAGATTAGGAGTGGGCTCATACTTGAAAAGTAGGAATACATTCCTAATTATTAAGTACAGTGATGTTTGGGGCTCAGGTGATATCTCCCAGCCTGATTCGACTTTCTTAGTGTCAGTTTTAAGCAAACTTTGTGGTCCCTGGAAGCTTCACCACAAGGAAAACACGTAGAAGAGTTTACTTTCCCAACAGCACAAATAGAAGTTTTTGAATGGAATGGAGGCTTTTTGACTCTTAGTGATACGACTTGGGTTAAGTGATCATTCTAGGATCACAGTTATGGATAGGAAATCATAGGAGGGTTGTCAAAACAAGGAGGGTTTAAGGTGGCTGCCACCTTGCCAAATACAAATGAATATGATGGGAACAATAACTGACTGCAAGTCAACCTGTTGAGTTAAGGTAAGGCAAAGCACAGGTATGTTTGGTAGTATTAAAACTACTTGTTGTCATGGAAATAGGGAATGAAATAATTTATTATCCGTACATTATTTTGGAAACCCTTGAATAGACAACTAGACTATTTTTTTCTCCCTCATTTTTCCTCCGCCTAATTGACCTTTAATTTGCAGATATGATCACCCTATTATTTGATTGTGTAAGCACACAATCCTTAACCAGAAAACAGGACAAAAAGTTCAAGGCAAATCATGTTTGTAATTTTAATCACTGTAATGCCTTATTTTAATCAGATGTCTGATTTGCCAAAGATGACAAAATGGCTAATTTTACACATAAACACACATGTAGATATTGCTAGTTAATAATAACTTACTAAAAAAATACATGGAGACAAATGAAAATGAAAACACAATGATCCAAAATCTTTGGGATGCAGCAAAAGCGGTTCTAAGAGGGAAGTTTATAGCAATACAGGCCTACCTCAAGAAGTAAGAAAAATCTCAAACAACCTAAACTTATACCCAAAGGACCTAGAAAAAGAAGAACAAACAAAGCCCAAAGGCAGTGGAAGGAAGGAAATAAAGATAGGAGCAGAAATAAAGACAGAAAGAGAGAGAGAGAAACAGATCAATGGAACCAGGAGCTTGTTCTTCAAAAAAATAAAAATTGACAAACATTTAGCCAGACTCATCAATAAAAAAGGAGAGGACTCA